TCTCAGCCACCTCGTCAGTAGACTTATAACACATTAAAAATGTCAATATTTGGTTAGATTTTTAGACTTATTAGTGTTAATATTATCTGGAAATTGATGTGCCGTTTTTTGATCCTAAAATACTTGATTTTTGACCATTATTCTTGCTATACCACACTAAAATAGTATAAATAAAAATAAATAATTGGCTGAATGTTGAACTATCTAACCTAAAATTATTTTCATCTTTTGTTGACTTTGGCCTCACAGAATCGTAGAGAACAACTTTCAAACTTACAACCCAAGCTAAAATTAACTTAATCGCAGTTATTTTAATAACAAATAACAGAAATAAACCTACAAGAAAAAGTCATAATTGTGTTATTAATTATGAAGTAACTATTAAAAAAATCTAAAGATTGTGATGCCAAAAGTTACTTTAAATCAAATAATGGCTTTCATCCATAGAAACTTTTGGCCTCATAATTACATGACGAATAACTTTCGGACTCATGTGCTAACATACATTAAAGTACAAGGTACATAAATAAATCTAAAATCGGAAACCCAAAATTTGGTCAAATCGAGGCAGTAAAATTCATGTGAATCAATATTCGGTGCTATATATTCAGGCACACCCCCAAGTGTAAAGATTCAGATTTTTTCCATAATACGAAACATTTTGTATGAAGTTAAAACAAAATTAGACTGTGAATGGTAGAAGTATCTGTAGACGCATTCATAAAAATATTTTTTATTCAAAGTTAAAGTGATAATTTACATTTTTTAAATACTTGCTACTTAGCCAAATATAAAGGACGACAGGTCCAAAGTTGCTATTAATGAGCCAATTATTTTGATATGTTTGTTTCCATATTAGCGTGGGTATAAAGTTGGGTTAGGTAGTTCTGCAATCAACCAATTATTTATTTTTATTTATACTATTTTGGTGATACCAGTTTCAGGGTTCATCCCCTTCCTCAGCCACCTCGTCAGTAAACCTATAACACTTTAAAAAAGTCAATATTTGGTTAAATTTTTAGACTTATTAGTGTTAATATTATCAGGAATTTGATCTGCCGTTTTTTGAGCCTAAAATACTTGATTGTTGACCATTATTCTTGCTATACCACACGAAAATAGTATAAATAAAAATAAATAATTGGCAGAGTGTTGAACTATCTAACCTAAAATTATTTTCATCTTTTGTAGACTTTGGCCTCACAGACTCGTAGAAAACAACTTTCAAACTTACAACCCAAGCTGAAATTAATTTAACAGCAGTTATTTTAATAACAAATAAGAGAAATAAACCTACGAGAAAAAGTCATAATTGTATTATTAATTGTGAAGTAACTATTAAAAAAAATCTAAAGATTGTGATGCCAAAAGTTACTTTAAATCAAATAATGGCTTTCATCCATAGAAACTTTTGGCCTCATAATTACATGACGAATAACTTTCGGACTCATGTGCTAACATACATTAAAGTACAAGGTACATGAATAAATCTAGAATCGAAAACCCAAAATTTGGTCAAATCGAGGTAGTAAAATTCATGTGAATCAATATTCGATGCTATATATTCAGGCACACCCCCAAGTGTAAATATTCAGATTTTTTCCATAATACGAAACATTTTGTATGAAGTTAAGACAAAATTAGACTGTGAATGGTAGAAGAATCTGTAGACGCATTCATAAAAATATTTTTTTATTTAAAGTTAAAGTGATAATTTAAATTTTTTAAGTACTTGCTACTTAGACAAATATAAAATACGAGAGTTCGAAAGTTGCTATAAATGAGCTAATTATTTTGATATGTGTGTTTCCATATTAGCGTGGGTATAAAGTTGGGTTATGTAGTTCTGCAATCAACCAATTATTTATTTTTATTTATACTATTTTGGTGATAGCAGTTTCAGGGTTCATCCCCTTTCTCAGCCACCTCGTCAGTAAACTTATAACACTTTAAAAAAGTCAATATTTGGTTAGATTTTTAGACTTATTAGTGTTAATATTATCTGGAAAATGATGTGCCGTTTTTTGATCCTAAAATACTTGATTTTTGACCATTATTCTTGCTATACCACACGAAAATAGTATAAATAAAAATAAATAATTGGCTGAATGTTGAACTATCTAACCTAAAATTATTTTCATCTTTTGTAGACTTTGGCCTCACAGAATCGTAGAGAACAACTTTCAAACTTACAACCCAAGCTAAAATTAACTTAATAGCAGTTATTTTAATGACAAATAAGAGAAATAAACCTACAAGAAAAAGTCATAATTGTGTTATTAATTGTGAAGTAACTATTAAAAAAATCTAATGATTGTGATGCCAAAAGTTACTTTAAATCAAATAATGGCATTCATCCATAGAAACTTTTGGCCTCATAATTACATGACGAATAACTTTCGGACTCATGTGCTAACATACAGTAAAGTACAAGGTACATGAATAAATCTAAAATCGGAGACCCAAAATTTGGACAAATCGAGGCAGTAAAATTCATGTGAATCAATATTCGGTGCTATATAATCAGGCACACCCCCAAGTGTAAAGATTCAGATTTTTTCAATAATACGAAACATTTTGTATGAAGTTAAGACAAAATTAGACTGTGAATGGTAGAAGTATCTGTAGACTCATTCATAAAAATATTTTTTTATTCAAAGTTAAAGTGATAATTTAAATTTTTTAAGTAGTATAAATAAAAACAAATAATTGGCTGAATGTTTAACCATCTAACCTAAAATTACTTTCTTCTTTTGTAGACTTTGGCCTCACAGAATCGTAGAAAACAACTTTCAAACTTACAACCCAAGCTAAAATTAACTTAATAGCAGTTATTTTAATAACAGATAAGAGAAATAAACCTAAAAGAAAAAGTCATAATTGTGTTATTAATTGTGAAGTAACTATTAAAAAAATCTAAAGATTGTGATGCCAAAAGTTACTTTAAATCAAATAATGGCTTTCATCCATAGAAACTTTTGGCCTCATAATTTCGGACTCATGTGCTAACATATCTTAAAGTACTAGGAACATGATTAAATCTAAAATCGGAAACCCAAAATTTGGTCAAATCGAGGCAGTAAAATTCATGTGAGGCAATATTCGGTGCTATATATTCAGGCACACCCCCAAGTGTAAAGATTCAGATTTTTTCCATAAGACGAAACATTTTCTATGAGGTTAAGACAAATATTGGTGGATTGAGAAATAAATCTAAGAAATAAATTCATAATGATGTTGTTAAGTGTAAAATACCTATGAAAAAAGATCTAAAGACTGTGATGCCAAAAGTTACTTTAAGTCAAATAATAGTTTTCATCCATAGCAACATTTAGCCTCATAATTGCATGTTAGGTAACTTTCGGACTCGTGCGCTTCGTATATGTGAAAACAGGTAATTAACCCATCATTCCGGGCACAATTTTGTTTTTGGAACGAAGTACTAGATTAATAAATTTAAAATTGGAAACCCGAAATTTCAACACAAGCCGGTGAAATTCATGAGGTGTATTATTTCACGATATGGATTCGTAAAATTTAAGGCACAATCTCAACATTCAAATTGTAATTGATAGACTCCGGCTTTATCTAGTTAAGTAATTTTATCTTTGTTGTTCAGTAACTGATTTCTGGTTGAATTAATTTTTATAAATGAAATATTAACATTTTTATTCACTCTATTTAGTATGTTTTTAATTTTGTAAGATAATGTTTCAATAAAATCCAGAAAATAATATCTACCTATGTCTTCCTTAGTATCATGGTCCGTTTTGAACAACGAGCAACATTGTTTTTTTTTTAATTTTGTATCTTATTTTGTCAATTAGATTGTGGATTAATTTTACTTTAAAGTCATTATTTATTGCAATTTGTTTTATGGACTGAAGTTCTTTATTATAGTTTTCATGGTTTAGATTAGAATTGAACAATATTTCAATTAAAGATGCAAAAGTTGATATTTTATGAATCCATAGGTGGTTGGAAGAATTGCAAATAATGTTGTCTGTGTATGTTTTATTGGCCCAATATCTTACAAAATTAAAAACATTCTTGGAGAAATATTAAACACGAGAGGCCAAAAGTTGCTATAAACGAAGTCATTCTTTTCATCTTTAGTACACTTTGACCCCATATGGATTCATACAAAACAACTTTCAGGCTCACAGTCCAAGGGGACATTAAATTAGTAACCCTTGTTTTAAGAATACCAAATCGTCTTTCAAATATCGGCGGATTGAGAAATTAATAAATCAAAGGGACAGATTTATAATTATGTTGTTTACTGTGGAGTATCTACGAAAAAAATCCAAAGACTGTGATTCCAAAAGTTAATTTAAATCAAATAATAGTTTTTATCCATAGCAACATTTGGGTTCATAATTACTGCTCCATTAAAATATTAAACTGGTTTTTCAAATTTCGCTTGTTTCTTGGATAAAATAATATAAAATACGAGAGGCCAAAAATTGCTACAAATGTAATTAATGATTATAAAAGAGTATAAGTAATTATTTTCATCTTTAGTACACTTTTGTCACACAAATTCATACAAAACAACTTTCAGGTTCACAACTCAAGCTAAAGTTAAATTAATTGTCGTTGTTTTAAGATTATCAAATTGTGATTCAAATACCGGAAGAAAGAAAAACAAATCTAAGAAACAATTTCATGGTGATACTATTAACTGTAAAGTACCCATGAAAAAAATCTAAAGAATGCGATATCAAAAGTTACTTTATATCAAATAATACATTTCATGCATAGTAACATTTGATCTTATAATTACATGTTTCGGAATAATGAGCTTCATATCTATCATTTCAAGTACAATTTTTGTTTTTGGAAATGAAATTCCAAGTGATTAGAAAATAAAACAGAAGCTCAAAAATGTATGGAAACGATGCATGACGTTCCAAGATATTAATTCCTAAAATTTAAAGCACACCCTTAAGCAAATATCCAGATTGGCTCCATAAGTAGAACAATAATTTAAGAGATTAACAAAAACTTGTACTGCTAATTGTAGAAGTGCCTGTACACACAACCATAAAAGTAAATTTCTTACTCCAACTTAAACTGGTATTTTAAAATTGACATGTACGCCTTTCTTGGAGAAATATAAAAAGAGAGGTTAAAAGCTGCTAAAAAATAGTAATGTTTCTTTTTTCGAAATCGCGCAGTAATGTGCTTTTTCTATGTTCAAAAATCGGCACAGAAATTAAATGCGGTGTTGTCATATTAGTATTATCTACCTCCACAATTACATTTTACAAGGTTATAAATTGTTTTTCGGTTTAGCAGTAATTCTATACTCTTTGATAACCCTTTTTATTAGTTATTAGAAACACATCCGGTTTATTAATTTTATAAATATAATTTATTAACTAAATTTGCGCGTAATCTCGCAACGTCGCAACCTTGCATGGCAACAGCGGATTTCTTGAAGTGCAGCGACATTCTATGGCAGCGAACAATGTGTATCCACATAACCTGTAATAAGTTTTTGTTCGGTGCAGAAACAACCATGGAAAACATTATATGGAGAATATCTCATTTTGCATACGAGTATTTCGCTGAAAAAGAAAATTCTGTGAAATCAACATTTTGGGCTACATAGTCGTTGTTAAAGTCAACTCTGTTAATATAAAACAGCATAGATATAATCTAAGTACACCAAGTTCTCAAGCAAAAAATATAGGTTATGTTTCCCAGAAATCAAATATATTTACAAGAGAAAACTTACGAAAATTTTTAACAGAGGCCCGTGATTAATGTACCTAATGTCAAAGGTAATCTCAAAGAAGGTCAATCACATTGTCTATAAAACATAATGTTTTAGGTATATTTTTTATTTGAAGTTGTAGGAGTATGCGGAAAGGAAGAATTTGAACAATTTTCTTGTATCTACATAACCTATAATAAGCTTTTATTATTATTACAGAACAGATTATTAGCTTACATGCCCATTTTAAATGAAAGTATGAAGCATACCTCTTATTTTTCGGCACTTTTAATATTTTTGCTTGCAGAAAGATCTGCAGCAATTGCAAAATAGAGATGGATAGCAATAATAACAAGCAGTTTACATGCATTCGACCGAACTTGCAAAAACTGGCAGATAATATATCAAATTTATTACCTAAAAACTCAGCCACAGTTTATGAAAAGCGGTATGAATTTTTTTTTTTTTTTTGCGCAGAAACAACCATGCAAAATATATGGAGAACACCTCATTGCATACGAGTATTTCGCTGAAAAAGCAAATTCTGTGAAATCTTTAACACTTTGGGCTGCATAGTCGTAGTTAAAGTCAACTCTGTTAATAAAAAACAGCATAGATATATCTAAGTACACCAAGTTTTCAAGCAAAAAATATAGGTTACATTGCCAAGAAATCAAATATATTTACAAGAGAAGACTTACCAAAATTTTTAACAGAAGCCCGTGATTAAATGTACACGATGTTAAAGGTGATCTCAAACAAGGTCAATCACATTGTCTATAAATCATTATGTTTTAGGTTTATTTTTTATTAGAAGTTGTAGGAGCATGTGGAATGGATAAATTGAAAAATAATGACGGCATTCAAGACAAAAACGATACGCTAATAATTAAAATTCCAACGTCTAAAACTGGCAAAGCACGAGAATTTACAAATATGTGTAAAAATATTTATCCAATTGAAATATAGTAAAAATACCTAATTTTAAGACCGCACCATACACCAGACAAATCATTATTTATACATTACATTTGGATAGTGAATGCAGCAGCTGCTGCATTGTACAAATATACCTGCAAACACACTGTAACAAATTATGCAGACACCTCTTTTGACTAAAAGATATATATTTAACTTTATCCATACGTTGTCAACTTTGTTAATAATTGCAATCTCTAACTTCATAAGAAATATGAATAATCTACTTTGGTGTTTTATAGTAGTATTAAATGTTCATAGAATATAATTGCACTTACTACGAAGTAAGCTTTCCTAGTTTTAAGTTGTTTTCTTTTCTCTTTGATTATCTTAATTTCTTCAGCCTCTATGTGGCTGTTTTAATTCCAAAAAATTGTTTCTGAATAAACTGATTCATACCACTTTTTCTTTCTTTTACTCGAAAACAGTTTAAACTATAACTCCAAATATTTACCTACTTTACAACGTGTCAAGCATTCGGTTGTTGTAAATGATGCAACCATAAATACAAATTTGAACACTGATATGACAGGTTTGAGGCTAGGATGTGGTTTTCATATACTCCCATTACTTGTTGCCTAAATCTGGCGCGAGGCCAAAAGTTATTATTGACGTATATATATATATATATATATATCTGTTCATTCCCCAAAAAATTAATGCATCATCTCACAATTTTACCGAATAAATCCTACCTATTTAAAGTGTGCAAAATATAATAAGTATAAATATACTAGTGATTTATTACTGCATTTCTATTTTTTAGAATTACGAATAGATGGTTTCTCAAAAAAATAATACGAATCAATTTATTTTATTAATTAAACCAGTAACGGCATACTCAGTTTTCCCGAAAATTTGGAAAAACTATACTGTTATGTATTACAGTACAGTGCACCTATCCAAATTGATAAACGTGTCCTTGCAAAAATGTTGATGACATCATCAAAATATTTTAAGTTACAGGGGTTCTAATAAAAAAATAAAATTTGCATGATCAAATTTTATAATTTTTCGAAAAAACTGTTGAAATAACCTTCGGCCAATTTTTTTCTAAATTTTTGAAACCCACTTGTGTAAGCTTGAGGTTAGAAAAAATTACTACCTCAAACCGTTATGGTAGTCTGTGAGAACGAATTCAAATTAAGTTGTCTGCAGATTTATATCATTTTAAATTGATATTAAAAAAGGTTTTCTTTGCATTAGAACTTTATGATTATTATATGCAGCATAAACATTGATTACCAGCACCTTCCAAATAATTCAACATTATTAAACATTATTAAATATACATACATTGGACATACGAGGGTGAGTTTTTGTTTTATTAAAAAGTGCCGTATTATTAAACACCATTACAACCAAATTTATAATATGTATAATCGTGCAAAAATTGCGATGCGATCTTAGATCGTGTTTTTTATTACCCTCAAGCACTGTACAGTGCGTTTGCAACACCGTTAAACGTAGATATGGACTTCCCGATTTGTTTTTTTTTTTATTTGTGAAAAGGATATGTCTACATTGATACAATTGCTTGCTTCTTAAATACCCCCCTCCCACCTTTTAACTTATAGCATCGTACTTAAAACGACAATGAATGGCGCTATAATTTCATGTTTGAACTATGTCCCTTTCATTCTTTTAAATTAAGCTCAAGCTTGTACTCATGGTTTCCATTTTTCTTTTTTACAACTTTATCAGTGAATCTTTACTAGAAACGCTTAAAAAACAATAATTACATGAATCCAAGAATCAATATTTACCAACTTTATTTGGGATAAATGTAGAAGGCCCGAAAAACAAAATATTAATAATGTATTTATGGTTATATGAAGACACTGTTGAAGCCTAAATTAAAATAATAAATTAGCATACTTTTCACATTCATTGTTTTTAACATTACTAGCAACACCGTTTCCGCGTGTGACAATTACAACGTCCTAACAATATGTTCAATTGATGTTGTCAAAGTCGCGACTTGTGGTTATCTGAAATTTTTTGTTATTGTGAACACAATAACAAGTACTGTGATTTGCATTGTAATGATCTATATAAGACAGAATTTTTAGATGCATTATATCCAGTACTAAATTAAGGCTTTATGTAAATAAGTGGTATTTATTTATGAATGAAAATGCATACGCTATGGAGCTAGTTTGCTCGATCTAACAAAGACATTGTACAACAGAATAATTGCATTAGGTTTGCATCGTAGCATCCATATTAATAAACTACTTCCTCGTATGTATTATGTTAAATCTCACCGCAACTAACTCGTGCTTGTAACAATTTCTTAATTGTAATGACCGCATAAAACCTAATAGATGTCGCGCAAGTTTCTGTATTAAGTTTGTAAGTTGCTATTCTAGAAGGCACGTTTATCTACTCATGTGATGTCATATACGAAAATTTAACAATTCAAATAGATTTAAGTAGAAAATTTTTGTAGTCATGATCTACCTTCTGAAGTAGAAGCGTCGAAGAGGCAGTTAACATTCGTAATTACGAAATACTGCATCTTTTTCGGTCACCACATTTGAATGTCTTCCACCTTTTTTTGTTAATGTTAATGAAAGTTATTTGAATTTATTTATTGCCTTTGACAGTGAAAGGTTGTTGCATTTTCTTTATACAACAGAAAACACAGGCCTGTGCTTTAAACTTAACATCAAGATATTTATTACAAGGCCTTGGGTTAACTTATTTCCATTGTTTCTCAGAACCCTCCATTTTTTAAGCCAGTAGTTATTTATTGAAACCCCAAAAAGTTTATCGATTTTTTTTTTATTAATATACGGCATATTTTATTCGCTTTCTAGTTAAAAAGTTTTATCCATCAAACAACAGTACCCAGATAGATATACCACAATCCATACTCGCTTTAAATTTGGTACAACAAGGCTCACAAGAATAGAATCGTTGATATCAAAATAGTCGTTTATGTTATTAGTATGTAAACAATTTTAAGAAATATGCTATATAATTTTATGTGGTAATTAATCTTTTATTGCATAACGAATTTAATGATGCACGTAAGATTTGCTGCAATAAATATTTATCTAGTTTTATTGAATGAACCATGGTTAAATTTAAATAACTGCGTATTACGTTAATTCGACATCCAGAATAACCCTTCTTTTTCTGTTTCAGGTAAGTTTTCCACAGCTTTATGGTACTTCTGTAAGTATGTTTTTTCTTTTGATCTACAGTCCTACCTATTCAATTGTGTCTTCGTAAAAAAAAATATTTTGCTCCTAATTAAGCAAATACAGGACATACTTTAAACCTTACACAACTGCACACTCGGACACACCACTGTATATGAACTGACAAAATTAAGTTTTTTTATATTCATATTTAGTTATTCCGGCGTGGGATATGTGTTATTGCCGCTAACGTACTTCTCAACATTACTCACACCTCATCTGTCAATCGTCTTTAAATTTTAACTGCATCAGTAGTCAAACTAAATTAAGCTTTAATGCAGCGGATGGCCAACTTTGAATATGTAAATTGCCGTCATGTTAAATTCAAAATAGCTAGCGAACATTTTGAAATAAAGTTTCAAACTTCACCTACTGTTCTGTTCCAAACTATTTATTTACTTCGAAAAACTCAATAAATTACGCTACGAAGGAAACTTACATGGTGTTTAATGAAATTTGTAAACTCGCATTTTACTTAATAAAACAGTTTATAAAAGTCGCTCAGTTGCCATAAAGGAGGACATACGCGGTGCGTACTCTATTTTTATTACATATCTTATTTTTTTAGTATCATGATGTCGAAGACCGTACAATATACCGTGTGATACGCATTCTATTAAAAGAAACTTAACAAAATTTGCGCAGTTTTTATGACACATGATGTAGCCGATTCTTTTATTATTAGTTTATTATTCCCACGTGCTTTATTTTTATTGCAACATAATTTAATTTTAAAAACTTCAAACTAAAACGTTTCCTGATATTTATATTATGTGTAAGGTGCATAATTTGTTTGTGCCATCATATCCACTTACATTACATACGTACATTAAGATTTTAAGTCATGAATGATTATTATTGTTCGCAAAGAAAATAGGTTGACACAGATGACAAAAAAAGTAGAGAATTTTGATTAAAAAAAAAAAACAATTCCGATATATTCCCATCCAACAGAACTCCAATGTGGATGACATTAGTCACTATTTTTAAGAACATCTAGAACCTGCATCAGCTGTACCTACGTACATGTTTGCACTTTTAAGTAATTATTTGTATAAGTAATTGAAAGTAGTCCTTAAAAAGAAAAGAAATTTGTGTTGTCCTTCCGTTGATATTATACACGTAACAGAAACCAAATCAAACTCACCGAACTAAATTCAAGGGGGAATTAAAAGTTTCCCATCCTACAACGAACGGAAAATATATTGTAGAAGAGTATTAGATTATTTGGATCACATGGTGCAATTTATGTTAACTGTTCAACCATCCTTAAAATTACGTTTCCAACTTTTCCAATTTTTTAAGCTGCCAAAGTAATCCATCGCTAACTTTGACTTGAGTGTCCAGTGGCATTTGTAAACACAATTATTGTTTGGTGAGGTAAATGAATTAAAAATAGCAAATCAGTCCGAGAAATTGGTGTTTTTTTACGTAGTCATACTTGTGACAAATTTGTGTGTTAGGTGTAAAGAATATCATGCAAATCACTTAATAATAAAAATAAAAATTTACTGCCGAAAACAACCACTTGTGAAGTAAAAATTATTGCTCGAATATGCTGATCTATGATATATTTACGCAATAACTTTTTTTTTAATTCATTCTTGTACTCCTCATTATTTGTACGTTTCATTATAACTGTAAGTACGCTGAAATTTATTAGATACTACAACAAAAGATTTTTGTTTGAAGTTTATGTGTACAACTATACAAGCAACATTCTAAATTAAATTCTGAGCTATTAATAGTATATCGTATTATACACAATATTGTTAATTCGTCCAGTTATTATTTTTGATAAAAATTATGAAGATATTTTTGTTTATCAAAATATTTTTTTCAAAATGTCGTTTTGCTACCGTATTAAACCAGAAATATTGGTAAATTTTATGAACTGATGAAATTTTATGAAAATCTCATGTTATTATTAAATGTTTCTGTTCTATACATTTTGAAAAGAAACATTATAAAAATCATCGTTCTTGGTCAGTAAAGTAAATAAGTAGTTAATTCTAGATCAGTTCGCACTAGAATTTTACGATCGTAATTCATTATTTGTATTCAGAGTTTCAATAATCTTTTTTTTATGAATTTGTCTGTATTATCATTTTTGTATTCCGTTGCTCGTGCAATGTACTACATTTTCAGTGGAACAATAAAAATTAAAAGTTATCTTACTAAAAAAATAAGAA